TCCAACAAAACAATATGGTGGTATCCTTCAGAAATGTAATTTTTCTCTTTACAACGAAACCATGAAGGGGCATATCTAAGCCACTAGGGGTTTGAAGTGGCATTTGTTGTTGTTGTTGGTATCCTACTGATCAAATGGCACCTTCGATTGGTGGTGTTGTTGATAAAAACCTGGTGGTTGACTGAACTAATGTGCTTGCTGGAATTGTGGGAGCTGCTGAAAGGGAGCCTTTGTTGGAACTGATCTTCAACTTGCCTCAGGGCGTAGCTCAAGTTAGGGTGTTGTCGCAATCCATGGTTGTAAGTACTCAAAAATGGGTCCAATGCCCGATTCTGCCAACTCTGAAAATTGCCACCCCTTACGACATTAACTTGCTCTTTCAACTAGAGTGGGACATGCATCGGTTGGATGTCCATGGTGGAAAAATCCCACATGCTTTCACTTGTTATACTCCAATCGCAAGTAGTTTCATAAGGTTAGTCAAATCAGTATTTTAGTTTTCAAGGATCTAACATGTACCACACTCATTCCTCGACTTATGTCACCCCATGGTCCAAACTACTTGGAGTTATCCACCATATTATTGGTCAACGTCCTTGCTTGAGTCAGGGCCTTATTCACAATCGCACCTTCGCTAGCAGAATCCATCACTTTCCGTTCCATCTGCGATAAAACTTCATAGAAATATTGGATTAATAACTCATCAGAAATGTCGTGTTGAGGGCAACTTACACATAGGCGCTTGAAGCACTCATAATACTCGCAGAGTGACTCCACATATTTATGCTTGATCTTGTAGATTTCCCGTTTAAGACTTGTAGCTTTGGACGAGGGAAAGAATTTGTTTAGGAAGGCTCGTGCTATTTGTGCCTAGCTGGTGATAGATCTTGACGGTAAATAGAAAAGCCAACTCCTAGCTTCATCAACCAGGGAGAATGGGAATGCCTTCAACTTGAGATTTTCCATGGTGGTGCCTTGTGGCTTGATCCCTAGGAATACCATGTGAAACTCGGTTGGTTACTTGTACGAGTCCTCATTGTCAAAACCATGAAAATGAGGTAGTAAGTGTATTAAAAAGGTCTTAAGTTCTGCATTTACCTCTTCTATAGGACAAGTGACGCAAAGAGGTTGCTGGTTGAAATTGGGTGTTGTCCACTAGAGTTGTTCATGGGCAGGACTACCCGTTAGTCTCGGCCCATCCGACCCGCTAGAAATACGGGTTTGGACAACCATTGTCAAGAAGATTGGCGGGCCCAGGTTTGTTCGTTAAAATTAACGGACGAAAATGAGCAATGTAAAAATAAATATGGTCAGGCCCGCCTACCCCGTTTATGTTTTAAAATTAATTTTTACTGTTAATTAAAATTATAGTAATATATTTTAAAATTAAATTATTAAAGTTATAGGATGAGAGTCAGGACTCTTTGGTTTTTCTTGACTCTTGAGAACCCAAAATGCTCTACATTATCTTTATTAGCATCTTTATATCAAAAGTCCTTATCGATCAACAATATAGTCAGTCGTTGTTTAAAGTTTTAATTGCAATGGTGTTTTTTCTTTACTTTTTGGTTTCACATTTGTTAATTACTAGAAGGGTACTCGCGTAATACAGCGAGATAAATCTCGATTTTAATGTTTAGTTTTTATTCTTTGTCTCTATTGATATAATGCGATTTTATGTGGTTTTGAGAAAATGGTAATGTTTTTATTTTTTGATGAAATATAAATTTGAAAATAAATAAATCGATGTTAGTATCAAATTAACTATGTAATTTAATAATAATATAATTTTTTATAAAGATAATAATTAAACATTCGGTTAGAATTTAATGATTATCTTAATTATATTTTAGGTTTTTTATATTTAAAATGACGTTTATCATGTATTTGATTATGTTTGTCGGCAGTTAGTTACACGAATTCAAGCATGAAGCTTTAGTAAGATGTACTCATGCATATTATGCTTGTAATCTTGAATTTAAAGTAATATGCATCAATAAACAATATTTTATACATAAAAAATTGTTTTTAAGAGTTTTAGTCAAATGTTTTATAATAGTATAGATAAGAGTTACACTTTTTAGGCTCATTAGCCCGTGGGTAAGCTCGGCCCGTTTATAGGACGGGCAATGGCAAGTTGTCAAGCCTGAAAAAAGGGCATTGGTTTACAATATTAGACCCGTTGGACAAAAAAAAAACTGGGTCGGACCCGCAAATGATCATCTCTACTGTCCGTTGTCTTAGAGTACGCTCGGGAGGTGGTGCTGCATCTCCTGTTCTTCTTTGGTCTTGATGATTGGTTCTTCCTCTTTGAAATGAGGCTTATCCTCCTAAAAAAATGCAAGATCTTTTCGTTCTCTGAATCGGTAGACAACTCAATATCTTTCCAAATATTAAGTACCGGTGAAGAAGTCGACTCTCCTTGCTTCTTTCGAAGCTTGGATTTCTTCTTAACCTCTTAGTGGTTTACTCAATGTCCCGATCTATAGACACGTATTAACCAACATGAAACGATATTGGCATAAACAGTTAAATCTTGTCGAGTCCCCAACAACATTGCAAAAAATTGACAGGTGTCGAGTCCGACAAATAATAAAATCTTATAATAAATCCTATTACCTTTAATGCAAAACAAATTGTGATAGTGATAAGTAGGGTTGTCTCGTCAGAAACTCATTGTGATCAATCATAAGTCTAAGACGATGTCATATGCATGTATTTTAACAGCTATAAATAAAAAGGGGGGGGGGGTGGAAAGTTGAAAATTAAGCGAAGCATATAAAGAGAATTAAAATTGTAAGCAATAGAAGATGAAATCTAGCAATAGGTGTCAATCAACTAACTTTTAGATTATTTATCATCAAAACTCAATTAAATATTTTCTTAAAATAATTCAAATTAGCTTGAACACCAACACACGTCAATGTCCTGTTGGTTAGAAAAAACATGACTAGTATGAAATGCTTCAACAACCAATCTCTAAGTAGTTAATATAATCCACTCACGGACTTGGAGTTTAATTGTCAGTTGCACTAAGATTAAACAAGCACCAAAACTAACCAACAAACAGTCTGATGTCGATTGATTGATTTAGATTTTACAACACTTGCAACTAACACGCTTATCAATTTAGTATTGTTTGCCATGGAGAGAAATCCAAGAATGATTATGGATTCCAAAATTCCTCTAGGAAATCGAACAAGCAAGTCAAAGCAAGGGATCTAATTCACAATTTCTAACTTAAAAATGACAAATATTGAAGCACAAAGATTGCATAAATGAAATCAAATGATTATGATTCACAATTTGTCAAAACCACATAAAATCGTATTATGTCGATAGAAACAAAGAATAAAAACTAAACATTAAAATGGAGATTTATCTCGTTGCATTGCACGAGTACCTTTCTAGTATTATAAAACATTTGACAAAAACTCTTAAGAACCATTTTTTAAGCATAAAATACTGTTATCGATGCATATTACTTAAATTCAAGATTACAAACAACGAGTACCCTTCTAGTATTATAAAACATTTGACAAAAACTCTTAAAAACCATTTTTAAGCATAAAATACTGTTATAGATGCATATTACTTAAATTCAAGATAACAAGTAAATCATGTGTAGGTACAACTTATTAAAACTTTATTTTTGAATTTGTGTAACTAACTATAGATAAACATAATTAAATACGGGATGAACATCTCATTTTAAATATAAAAAATCTAAAATACAATTAGAATAATCATTATAAATAAAATATTGAACTAAAGAAATTACACAAAAAAAACAGAACTTTAAATAGTAAACTTGATACTAATATCGATATTTTTTTTCCAAAATTTTATGATATATTTAGATTTATATTTTATTGAAAAACAAAATACATTATCGCTCTCTCAAAACCACTAAAAAATCGTATTATATCGACATAGATAAATAATAAATCGAAACATTAAAATTAAAATATATATTTCATTATATTATACAAATACTCTTCTTGTATAAATAAAAGAATTTGGTTTGTCTTGAAAAATGAGGGGCGCTTGACATACATTTAAGTTGATTACTGTAATTTGGGTTTAGTGTTCGAATAAAAATTATGATTTCATTAGCTATATTATATTATAAAGTATTTGATAAAAAAATTTAAAAAATATTTTTTATGCATAAAGTACTGTTTCTTAATGCATATTACTTAAAATTTAAGATTACAAGTAAATTGTACGTAAGTACAACTTATTAAAGCTTTATTTTGAATTCGTATAACTAATTGCAGATAAACATAATCAAATACAAGATAAAATCTCATTTTAAATATAAAAAATTTAAAATATAATTAGAATAATCATTAAGTTCTAATACAGAATCATTATCTTTATAAAAAATCATATTGTTAAACCCAAAAAATAAATTATTTCGCTATCAAACATAAATTAAATTATAATGTCCAAAAAATGAGAACTTTTAAATAGTTAATTTGATATTAATATCGATATATTTTTTCAGATTTTTATATCTTCAAATATATTTTTATTCAAAAGTAAAAACATTATCTTTATTAAAACTATATAAACCGTACTATATCAATAGAAACAAAAAAATAAAACGAAACATTAAAGTGAAGATGTATTTCACTTTTTACACGAATACCGTTCTACTTATCTAAAATGAAAATAATCAAATTTAAAAACTAAAATCATCTAATGACTTTCAAACCGGCGACTGAAAGAGTTGGGCAGGTTTTTGAATTGACTCACTTGAGTTGCCCCCGTTGACCCTTCATTCTAATTCACTTCTCGACCCTCATTAATTTGGAATAGAATATCATTTCTTTTCTTTAATATGTCTGTCCTGTCACCCTCTACCAACGTTCCTACACACAATTCCATGTATTTCAAATCAATCGGGAAATTGGTTAAGCAAATGGGGTTTGAATACTTCTGACATCAAGACTTGTTCATTTGAAGTTTCTTGCTTTCTTCTTTCTGTTTGCTTTCCAAGACATGTCTGGTTTCATGCATATATAAACATCAGCTTTTACTTATTCCTTATGTCATCTCAATTACAAAACACAATCATGATGAAGAAACTCGGCCTCTTTTCCTTTTCGTCATTAAAAAGTGGATATGATGATTATGGTGGCAGTATAAGACATCTTTTCAGCTCCATACTTTCTCAACTTTTCTTCCAAGCACTCCTTCTCATCTTCATCTTCCACTTTGGCGTAGGTCAGTATACATACATACGTACATATATAATGTTATATTACCTCTTTAATTAACCCTACAATGAAATTATTGATTAATATATATGTGGTATGTGTAGTTGGGGGTACAATTGGAGCAGTAGCAGGAGCATTGATCGGGTTTAAGCACAAAATGAGCTTCTTACAAGATGTCATGATGGGTGCAGCATCAGGGGTAGCTTTGTCACAAAAATTAATTACAGCCATCTTCGATTATTTGCGTTCTGATGATCATGATCAACATCTTTGCTTCCTTCACCTGGTAAATTAATTAATAATAATTCATCTTCTGAAATTTCACTCTTCTTTAATTAATTATCAATAAAATGTGTGAATATATTTTGGTTGCAGATTGATATCGTAGCAGCTGATGTGGAATCAAAACTTCTTCGAGATCAAGATCATATATTCTTAGTTAGCAAGGTAATTAATTAATTAATTTTATATATATATATATATATATAGAGAGAGAGAGAGAGAGAGAGAGAGAGAGAGAATGAGAATTCCAGGTGGAATTATATTATTGATTAATGAAGCATTGAATATTCTTTGAAACTGAAATTGGTAATTAATGAACTGATGCAGGTTGAAAGTTGTGAAAAGCTGGTGAAGCTTCCAAAGATTGAAATATCAAAGCACGATGTCTTTGACTCTTCTGGAAATGCAACTTGTTGCTCAATTTGCCTTCAGGTACGTACCATACTTTGCATGGAATATATATGTCATATATATATACTATTTATTAACTTTTTTAATGAATCTTGTTATATTTAATAAAATAACAGGATTTTGAGGTTGGGAATTCAGCTGGAATATTTCCAAAGTGTGACCACAAGTTTCATCCAGAATGCATATCGCAATGGCTTCGTACCCATAATTCATGCCCAGTATGCAGAAGAAGCCTATAATATTGTCAACAACCATCCATCCAATCCAATTCATATTCATATTCATTCATCTACCTACCTAATTTATTCATTTTCCGATCACATATTTTTTCATTTTTTGTTACATATTCTTTGTGTTATATATAAATCGTTCACGGCGCAAAAGGGTACTCCCGTCATAGGTTTTAATTTGTCGTTAAATTAGTATTTCTGTAAATACATTTTCGTCAAGGTAGTTGTGAAATGTGTACATAGCTAGCTCTATATGATGAAATATTTATGTAACCTATACCTATATATAACAAGGATCATATGACATTTGTTTATATAGATAGCAGACAGTAATTAATCACATATTTGATCTCTCAAAAAAAAATTCTAATAGATTGTATCTCTGTGTTTTAATTTTTGTTAGAGATCAGATTGATCATTTGCCCCTAAATCTATAAATAAAGTTCCGTTAAGTCAAGGGTATTTTAGTAATTTTACTCATTTCATTATTGTTTTAATATACAACTTTGGTAGTCTTTTGTAGAAAGCATTTAATAACAAAAATTGAAAAGAAAAGAAAACAACTACCCCTAATATAATCTCGTCATCTTGTCAAAATATGTAATTTCTATATATTTTTGCTTTTTAGTTCTCTTAATTAATCCAAGTAATAAACTCTCATAATTACGAGATTTAATTAAAAATTAAACATTTTGCTAGAATTAATAAAAGAAAAAAAAAAGTAGAAATGGTTTGTATGATATTGATGAGTAGCGTGGCGTCTTGAACATAAAATGGAGAAGGAATCATATTATATATATGGTTCCGGGTGCTTTCTTTTCATTACCTTTTCCTTCTCAATTCTTATCCAAAACGTAAACATAATAAAATCTTACTTATAACTATTTATTATTAAATTAATAACGTACAAGTAACCCTCCATTTATTCTATTCGCCCATAATTATTAACTACCTTTATTTATGGTTACTTGGATTTTCATCTAAATCAAATCATTTATCAATATCAACATAAATATGTCGTATTAACATATATATATATATATATATATATATATATATAATTGTTTTGTTTGTGGTAATCGTGAGATCCAATCTCGACCAATCATTTTAATATATTAATTATTTTTTTTAAATTAATGTAAAAGAGCATGTTAATAAATTACTAAATTTAGATTAAATATTTATTTATTAATTTCATACGTTTCAATTTAATTTTTATTTTACATTCCTAAATTATCACATGAAACCACAATTTTTTTTGCCACAATGTAACACAACATTTTGTGTTACCTAATACACTATTGGTATTGTAACACACTGTCCTACATCAGTAACTATTGGAATTTGTAGCCCCTTATAACTTATGAGTTCTTGGTCGTAGGTTACCAAAGAATTCTCACCATGGGTTTAATGGTTTGGAGGTTATCTTGTATGGTTTGCTACTATGTGATTAAGATATTACACAAAGTGTAGTTGAATGCTCATTGATTGGATTATTTTCTTGTGTTTATGCAGCAACTTCACATCTCTGTTGAAACCACAATCTTTTGGGTAGCACATGAAACCACGATATTTTTTATTACAATGTAACACAACATATCCAACCAAAGCCTACAAATTGTTTTCCACCTCTTCTCGCACAACCAACAAGATCTTTTGTGTTTTTTGTTTTGATTTGATGAAATATAATTTTAGAAGATTAACGGATTTCTAGGGCGCTCAAAATAGTCTTATTAAATTAAAAAAATTGACCATTTTGCCCTTATTTACATATTCACATTAAATATTGGAGAGTTATTTTTGGAATTTCAGTAATTAATTTTTCTTTTATTTTCAATCACTGATTATTAATTTGTGTGATTGAGATTAGATCTCACGGTTACCATAAACAACTCAGTTCTTTCTTGAATGGTCCCATATATATATATATATATATATATATATATATGCATATATAGGTTATAGAAAACTCATAATCAAAACGAGCGAACATGCATTGAAATTCGTTTATTAGTTTTAATTGTTCTTTGTATAATTAATTCAGAAATCTTTTGTAATAAAGAACGTATATAAGAGGAAAGCGTACGTAATTCAAGATTATCATACACAATTAATCATTCCAAAATCTACCATCAACCCATATGCCACCATTTGGTAGGCATGCAAATATTAATTAGTTAGACATTAATTAATCATAGAAAGGTATTCAAATGGAGTCAATCTCTTAACTAATTGATCAACCACTAGAGGTCTGAACCACAGGCTTAACACACTTGGTGTGCACTTCATACCCACAGTCAATGCACTGATACGCCCAACCCGAACCCTGTTCGTCACAATCACAACATATGAAGGGACCGCCACCGTTCCCTTGAGACACGAGCGTGAGTTGGTGGCGATGACCCGAATGTAACTCCATACTCGGCAGATTCTTTGCATCTTCATCCATCTGTTTTTCCAATAGCTCCACCCGAGCCTCAGTAAAAGGGTATGCTTCTTCTTCGTATAAGTTAATGAGACTTCTGCCATTCTTTGTGACGGTTTTACCATCGGGACCCAAAATGATCAAACTGGGAATACCCCGGATATCAAAGTATTTGGTTAGGTCCTTAGGGGTGGAATCACGAAACGGGAGGGCCAGCCAAGGCATTGTGTTGAAAGAGGTGTCGAACTCTAAATCGTCATGATCGCTGGAGATGTAGATGATTTCGAAGTCTTCTTGTTGTTGGGTTAGTTTTTGTTTGATCTTTTGGTAAATGGAGATCAACTTGGGAGTGAATTTGAGACTTGGGAGGCACCATTGGGCCGAAAAGTAGAGCCCAATGGTTTTGCCAGTTAAGGAAGAAACTGATACCTGCACAATGTTTTCACAAATATATCAGGGCCCAACAAATAGTATTAGAAACTCGATTAAGCTAAATCTACCTCTTTAATTGATTGCATGCATTTAGACTTACGACAACCAGTTTAAATCGTATGGACGAATTTAGGTGCAATTGATCTGATCCAATCATTCATTATAGGCTGAAGTTTGTGGATTAGTCCAATTCCATTATCTTTATTCATCCAATCCAATCCAATGAATGACTTCATTGGATCAATAATCCTATTGGTTATCCAATAGATTTGATTGGATTAATCCAATATTTTGAAACAAATATTCAACCTTTTCATAATTTCAGCCAAATATTTATATATTATTCCAATTTCCTTTTCACATTACATATAAATATCAAACAATTATATGTATTGTAAAAAAAATGTCCTTATGTGATTATCACATGCTTTATGAGTTTGGACTCGTAACTGTGTGTCCTATGATATTACAATAATTTGTTAAAACGAAATTAAACGATCTAGCAAGTTTTATGAAAGAATTTAGCCAAACTAATAACACAATAAATAGATCGTTTTGTTAGTCTTTTTACATGATATGTTTTAAAATGTCCCATATAACATATTAACCACACTTTTAAAAAAATGTCATAGATAAAGCTAGTAAGGCATTTAGTTATTATGTCTTGTAAGATTGCTCAATTTCGTCAATAACTTTTTAAGTTTTCTAATTTCTTCCTAACTACTTACCGTAATGTTATTGAATATGACTAAGAATTGTCAGGTTTATACGAAAAGAAGGTAACTAATATAAGAAAATGGTCGAATCACATGTCATTTTACATTGAAATTACGTGTAAAATCACATATGATTCACACTCTGGCCACGAACTAAGATTGCAGGGCCACGACGCCTGTACACCTAGGGTTGACCTTTAGTGTAAAATCACAAAAACGGTTAAATTATGTGTAATTTATTAAGCCGTCTAAGCTTAAGAGAGCTGGACAACCTGAAAATCTCTTTTGACTCCTAGGATTCAATAATTATTTTAATTGTAAGATATTTCATATCATGTCATGGGATGGGATGTTTTTTAAGTCCTGAACTATCAATCATTATCGGTATTCATTTCATATATTGATGTTCTGAAAATGCATTTTGAACATTTATCACATAAATTTTCATGCACAAAAAACACCTCTACGTTTGTTTTTGTTTTTAAAATTAACAATATATTTTAAAATGAATGCAACGTTAAACTACACTTTAAAAGGGAAATTAAAGTTGAATTCCAACCGCAAAAAACTACACTTTATGAAACTTTTGGCGTCTATTGGCAATTTGGCGTAATCAAGCAAACCACTTTTAAATTCCTAAATGAAGATACGTGGACCTCTTTAAAAGGGTTTCCAAAGAGATAAAAAAGGAATTTTCTAACATATATCAAGAAGAAATGGTATAAGTTTAGTTAATGTGGGACTTAAAATACGTCTGCTTCAACAGAGGCCAGACGGACACTAACAAATTGTCCAAGAGCATTCAGTCCCTAATATGGTAGACCTCGTATCTGATACCATGTGAGCATATAGGAAACACTTTTAGATTACTTTCCAAAAGAGCCAAACATTCTTTTTCACAAAAATATGTTCATGAGTTGCACTCTATAGGTTGAACAACTCATCAACATATTCTTGCACGAGCATATGAAAAACGATATGAACTAACCTCATTGGATGTTGAATGAGCCAAAACAAAATCTCTATCATGATTTGTAAGCAAATTCGACAAAGTCTGTCGTTCGTGCTTCTCCTTTTCTTCCTTCAACAATTCATCCAACCTCTCCTTAGTGAACGGATACGCTTCAACACCATAACGGTAAATCAACTCAACTCCATCATGTATAATATTCGTACCATCGGGTTGTAAAATGATCAAGCATGGAATCCCTTCAACATCAAATTTATTGTTCAATGCCTTCTTAGTTTCCAAATCGGAAAATGGAATCGCGAGCCATGGCATGTAGGATTGATAGTAGTTGTTGAATGCATTCAAATCTTCATCAGACGAAACAAAAACGATCTCAAAGTTTGATCCATTTTTCTCTTTGATTTGCTCATATACTTCGATCAAGAGTTTGGTAAAACTTTGGCATGGTGGATACCAGTTTGCTGAAAAGTAAATGCCCACAATTTTGTCTTCAAGCTCGGAAATCTTAATCTGAAATGGAGATATATCCAAGTTTGGCTTAATGTAAAAAAATCAAACTGAAATATCCCATCAAAATGAACCAAAGTTAAAAATAAAAATAGTCGACCATTAAAAGTCGATCATCAAACTGGATGTTTATATAAAATAACATAAAAATAAAATATTTTTGAGTACCCTACTATTGTACCCAACAATGCCTAAACATACAGTTGTAAGTAAATGTTGGTCCTGGAGCCAAAAAAATATCTACGTACATGATTCCCCATGTGTAAAATGTTTTATGGTGGAAATAGTGCAAAGGGCAGCCCCACTTCTGCAAAGAGAAAATGGCAATCGATAGGGAGAGCCACCTTACATTTATGAATTATGGGATTCCTCTTACAACACAATAGTTTTATGGAAATCTTTTTGGGTTTTTAGAGAGAAAAATAAGTACCATAAAGCATGCATCATGTACTTTTTTTTATTTTCATGGCCCATTTATATGCTTCGGGTATGTTCCTCGTTCTTAAAAAAAGTCTTATTTTTTGAATTTATTGAAAATTTAGTATATGATAGGCTATAACCCAAAAAATATTGATAGGCCATAACCCAAAAAATATGGGTTTTGGTTCTTTGATAATTACCACATTGTTTTAGTACGTTTACCAACTATGTTAAATAAATGTGTGCAATAAATAGGATGTGGCAGCAACCTTCTGTTATGAAAACATGTGAGTTGGCACCAAAATAGCATCACTAAAGTTAATTCATACAAAATGTAGCAACCAGTTTTCACTAAATAAACTAATAGCATTAGTTTTTTGTTGTTAAAACGGTGATTTTGGGTATATTCAATTGTATGGCTCCAGAATGTGACTATAACTAAGCGGTTACATTGAGATCCATGAACCCTATCGGGAAACCGCAACCATTTTACTAACCCAACAATGCACAATTTCAGGTGTAAACGCCAAGAACATGGCTACGGATGAAAGAATTTTGAAATCAAATAATAAAAATTCGATGTGTTATGCCTTTTATTTTCTAGATTCACCATCATCATCGGATTCTAATTTCTTAATTTCACTACAAACAAATTTATTCGTCTACGATCAACATGAACAACGATTTAATTTGTACGGATACATAAATCAGCAGAACTGAACTCATAATCAAATCGTAAGTGATGTCTACAGCATATATAATCCATGGCGAATAATTTGGAGATCCACTCTCTTCATGCTAAAGAGGTTTTCGTCTTTCTTGTCTAATTTTGAAAAGAAAAAAAATTATTTCCTTCAATCTTCAAACATCCAAAACTAGATCTAACAAAAAAAGTCTACTTCAATTCAAATTTTACTATATATATGTTGAACGGAACTGTTTTTGCGTCATGCACCAAAAATTCTAGAGAAAAAGAGAGGGGACCTGAGCTCCGGTGGGAGAGAGAAGGAAGTCACGGTGATCGGAGGCAAAGAGAGATAAATATTTGATCTCCGGCGACGTTGTGTTGATCGACGACAGCTGTTGCTTCATCTCGCTTGATTAAAGTTTCTCTCTCACTCTAGGTAGGAGAGCAATAACATAAAGGGAAATCTGGTGTTGAGCTCCAAGGATGTGTGTCTGGAGAGTTTATATTCGTGTGCTGCCGTACGGCCTTATCATTCACATTTATATACTTATAAATACTTGTATTTCACATGCTTCAATTTCAGCACCGATTCTAATGGTCCGTTTATTCAGTAAGAGCAATGACAAGTACCGATAATGTTAGCAGGTAAGTGATAGTGATGTCTCTTATCTTGTTTGTGTTTATTGAATGAATCGTTTTGATGGAAAATTCGTTTATTTAATCAATGAACGAACATAAACACATTTTTTTTGTTTAATTAAATGAACAAACATGAAACGATTGACAATGGTGGTTGATTTATGTTCATTTGTGTTTGTTCGTTTAACATATTAATGAACCAACGTCAACGAATATGAACAAACACGTTTTCTTAACGAACGAACATGAACAAAAAAATACGTTCATTTACCGTATGTATTGTTCGTTTGTTTGGTTAAGTTAAATGAACGAGCATAAACAAACCTCCGTTCGTGTTCATTTGATTTGTTTACAACCCTAATTATGTTTATTTGCTCGGTGACAAATGGTCAATCATTGATGCCTGCGATTATTAATCAAATAAAAAATTCCAGCATCTCACACTTTATTGACTACTTGTGTTTTGATTATAAACAACTTTGTGTTTTTAATTTGTTAAGTTAGATTTTAATCTGCTAAAAATAATGTAACTACTATTAGCAGTAATTCAGTCATCTTCATTTCATTTTAGATTACCTTCAACTGGAAGAAAAAGTCGCTATAAAACCACAACGATGGTGTCTGATTGGTTTGAGCTTGACTTCAAAGATCAAAAGTACCATAAGGTCTCAGGTTCAAATCCAATGAGGAATAAAAATCTACTTGTGGTCACGGAGGTTCAAATGTGGGGACTCCGAATTATCTGCAAAGCAGGTGGTCACCCTGATATTAGTCGGCTCGCATAACGAATTAGATATTCAGGTTAATAAAAAAATCTGTTTCGGTTTATTCGATTCGGTTGTTATAAATATTATTTATATTCGATTAATTAAATGATAAAATTGGGAATCGAACAACCGAGATTTTGTAGGTTATTCTATTATGATCTTTTAGTTTATAGTTAAAAGATAGATGTTATGTTTGGACATGTGATGCAGCTCAATTATCCTCGGCTTCGGCTTCGGCTTCATATATATCTTTTGTCAATCACAGAATCTTAGACACGTAACCGATATCTTATATACATATAATATTATATTAAAGCGACGTGTTTTTTAACTTTAGAAAATATAAATTAAACTTTCATAAATATGAGTTTCAGTTTTAAAGCTAAAGTAAACCAGCTTCGATAACAGGTAATTGTAGCCGTCAATCAATATGATGGTATTTTATAATTGCTATTAACTATTTAATGAATAAAGTACAGTTTTTATTACCTTTCTTAACAGCATAAACAAATATTTATTTGAATTTTTGTAAACGATAAATAAATAAATAAGTAAGGTGGCGAGCGGGGTAAACCATAATTTTGGTTAGCGTTAAGTTGATGTTTTAAAATAATAAATGGAAAATGGGATATTTTGAAAGAGTGGACACGTAGGGGAGTTGGAAAAAGCAGAAGCTGCTTTTTGTTTGGTGAGAAGGGGGTGCGTGTTGTCTTCTAACACACCTCCATCAATTGTGTTGTGTGGGCCTAACTTTGTAAAATCCACCCGACACCTGTCTCCCTTCCTTTATATTCAATCCACACTCCCATATGTTCAAACCAAAAAGAGTAATTAAAAAATAAATATGAAAATGATTAGTTCATTTATAAAGTTATATGTGATTTTATAAAGTCGGTTAATGTAAGGGTGTGCAGATGACATGACGCATAATCGGTATCGAATATCAAACATTAGACTCGGTTTCTTAAAAGCGGCAAGTTTTTGAAAAACACCATAACATAATATACAACGCTAAAAAATAAAGTGTCCAAACACAATTAAAACTACGACGTACAGTAATAATAAAATAATCGGTTCAGATTTGTTATTATAAGTTTGGTTTTAACATTTAAAAATATGTATCAAAATTAAGTTAATGAACCTTGTTGGATACAACATGAGCATGAGGATGGAGTGGTAGATCGTCTATCACTTATTGCAAATAAACAAACTCAAATGCCTTTTCTTTTTTCTCTTTTTTAAAAATTAAGAAAGCAATTATGATTGGTTTTTGCGTATTTTTTAATTAATAACTCAACAACAAAATTAATATAGTTTGAGAAAATGAACACACCGAATGATTCGACAACGTGTGACATAAATTAGATCGTTGTTAGAATAAAATCTTTAAAAAGGGAGAGGTTAAACTAAAACCATAGTCTTGACTCTTAAGCATCTTTAATGAGAGATTTTTTAAACATGAATTTCATAAGAAATTAAAATCACTCGAAATTTTGTATAAATAATCAAATCTTTAAGTTATTGTATAAGAATCTTGATTTTATTTTAAATTGTGTGTGATATGACAATTCGTTAGGTTTTTATATGTTTTTTTTATGTTTATATAATAATTATTGATGTTTAAAATATATACATGGTATTTACAAAAGACAATCTTATAAGAATTACTATCTTAGAATAACACGTAGGTTCTTAATTTGTTGAGTTGAAAATAATATATTAAAAAAATATATAAAAGTATTTGTTCCTCGCAAATTTTCTTTATAAGGCTGTTGTAATTCTCTCTCTCTCTCTCTCTCTCTCTCTCTCTCTCTATATATATATATATATATATATATATATATATAT